ATGCGGCAGAGTGCAACTGAGATGACCACAGGGACTGTTACATGCTAACCTCAGCCGACTCCAGCAGCAAACATGCGGGCGTGTTGTGTGCTACGCGCATGACAAGCAGCAACGGCTCGGAAGATATGCGGGACAACTGCTGGATCTTTTTTTTTTGCAGCAGCAGAACTCCGCGTTGTTGTGACACATCGCAGTGCTGCTGGTACTTCGCCTACGAACCCACAGCAGTCGATACTGACACCGCTGACACCCAATGACACCTACTGACACCTCAACCCTTGCCCTAACTCACTTGTCTCATCCGTGTTGAGGATGCGTTCCGGCGGGAGCTTGGTCTCCTCCAGGTACTCCGCCCATGCTTTGTAGAAAGCTTGAAGGCGAGGCTCGCCGTCTTCGTTAATCCGGTTTGCTTCGTAGATGTGGGTGGCTCGCTCCGACAAACCCGGGTGTCTCGCCATAAACCCCTCAAGCCAGCTGTCCCCAGGGCCCTTGTCTGGGTCCCAGGGCACCTTGCGCCCGTCGGTGCAGATGTTGCGCACAGCGTCTCTCAGCTCCCTCCGACCCAACAGCAAGAAGTGTCGGGAGGCGTAGATCAAGACGTCTTCTACGAAATCTTCCTCCTCCTTGCTCAGGACAGTCCCGGGACCAACCGCGCGCGATCTCCGCTTTTGTGCACGTCGTTTCGCGTAGAAACCCCGGGGTTGGGGAGCAAGATCTCCTACGAATTTGGGGCTCATATTCCTGTGAAGCACGGCCATCTGTTGCCGTAGCACGACCAAACCGGTGTGACGAAGAGCGCGCTATTTTTCTTCTTCCCCAGAAGCTCACAAATCGTCAATCGGTACCCCATAGATATCATTCTGGTTCCAAAGGTGCTATGTCGGCTTCCCGGAAACCAAGTTTTGGGGTCCCTGTGTCGCGCGGCGCAACTTTGGCCGATATCAAGAGCCTTTTTTCCCCTCCTGGGGGCGAAGGGAAAAATGTCGCGCTTCGCGCTCCGCGGCTGATTATGAGTGATGCATTCCTCCCAGCCGACCAAGCCAGGGATTGCTGCTTTTCGTGTTTTGGTTGATCAGGTCAAACCCCACTCCACGTCCTCGATGCCGTACACTGCATGATACATACATGCCCAAGGGCGCACGGAGAGCAGCAATAACTTCAACTCTCTGATGAGAGAGGTCGAAGCACGGTTTTTGATTGCTCCCCCCTCCAGGCTCTTTGGGCTCACGTACCTGGTAGGCATCCAAGATACGTTATTGCGAACAAGGCAGCCCGATCACGGGATACTGTTTCTCAAGCTTAGTCAAGTCGATTACACAGAACCTGCGCTATCCAGACTAGCACAGCAGTAGAAAGACCCAATGTAGATACGTACGTGTTCAATGAATCGGTGCGAGAGAACACGGCCGAGAAGGGGCAAACCTCACGAACGCTGAATGCCTTGTGACGGCGACGTACGCACGCACGGGGCATGATGTCAAACCCGGTCATGCCCACATCTCTGAAATATATTTGATCAATACGAAGTACTTACAAACCAGCCAAGTCCATGAATGCGCGTTCATTTTGCCGGATTACGACAGAATCGCTACGGATGGAGTCGGAAAAGCGACAAAAGGACCATTCAAACTTGTCTCGCAAGGATAGACGATCCCCTGATGAGATTCCCAGACCTCCATTCCCTTCTCCCAGGCAAGCAACCACATCCGACAAGGAAAGCACGACTGCGTTGACGATTTAGCATTCGAAGTAAGTCCTCAATGCATGTGGATATGAAACAGCTCTCCCTCATTTGATTACGTCAATACTCTTGAGTACTGAAAACATATGATGCGCTCGGACTGCAGCACCGGTACGAAAGACATCGTTTCAAAACACGCTGAACGAACCTGCGCAATCATCTCAAATCACACCCGGAGCTTTTAAAACGCGCTTTTTGCATCACGAGTCATGGATCGCAGCGAAGTTGGCTACACGACTCCGGCAAGAGGCTGGTTGGATCCTGCCCCGAACGATAGCTGTTGCAGCGAGGACGGCCACACGACTCCGGAAATAGGCTGGTTGAAGTAGTACCCGAACGATAGCTGTTGCAGGAAGGATGGCCACACAACTTCGGCAATAGGCTGATCGGAGCTGTACCCGAACGACAGCTGCTGCAGGGACGTCGGTCACACGACTCTGGCAAGAGGCTGATCGAATCTTGACCCGAACGATAACGACTGTAGGGAGGACGGCCACACGACCCCGGCAAGAGTCCAATTAAATTCTGCCCCGAACGATAGCTGTTACAGCGAGGAGGGCCACACGACTCCGGAAATAGGCTGATTGAAGTAGTACCCGAACGATAGCTGTTGCAGGAAGGATGACCACGCGACTTCGGCAAAAGGCTGATCGAAGCTGCACCAGAACAACAGCTGCTGCAGGGACGTCGGCCACGCGAATCCGGTGATAGGCTGATTGAACTGTGACCCGAACAACGGCTGTTGCACGGAGGACGGCCACACGACTCCGGCAAGGGCTGATTGAAGTTGTACACGAACGATAGCTGCTGCAGAGAGGACGGCCACGTGACTCCAGTAATAGGTTGATTGTAGTGGATCCCGAACGATAGTTGTTGTAGGGACGCCGGCAATGCCACTCCGGCGATAGGCTGACTGAAACGACCCCGAAGTGAAAGATATTGCAAGTGCACCGGCCAGCTCGCGTTCTCCATTATGATATCCGAATCTGCGACCAACATCAGCTGTGTCAACCCTCGGGGCCAAACCACTTCCGACCCTGCAGCTCAAGACATTGTGACCACGTCCACAGCTCGATGGCAGCACCCCTCAGCAGATCGTCCATGGACAGGGCCCACGGAAAAACGAAGAGCCCGCAAGACCGGTACACGGCTCGAGATACGGAGCTTCGAGCTGCGCGTATTCGGCCGGGTCTGTGCTGTGCGAGAAGACCACAAGCTTCGAGGAGTCTGGTCATTCACACGCACGTGCAAGATCGACGTACTTCGGCACGCCCTGCACAGTTCCAGCGAGGTCAGCTGCAGCTCCCGTGTCGACGCATACCAGCGCTTCTTCCCTCCCCCGCACGGTTGGCTCAAGGCGACGACGAAGGCATCGATGCACCGGGTGCGCCCTGGCAACAATGACCTAACGATTTTTCAGCAACAAAGGTTTGATATATGGGGCAATTTCTCGTGGTGATGCTAGAATAGGCGATTTCGATCGTGGACGGAGCCAAAGATGGGACACGAACAGCTGCCCTGCTCCCATGTGTCGCCAAAACGCCTCGGTTGTCCCTGGAACCAAGTCTACGGCAACTGGATCCGTAGTAGCAGATACATCGACTCCTTGTGGGTACTGCTGTCGAACAGAAATGCTCTTGACGGGGTGGGGAGAAGGGTCGATCCCTTGGGGGTGGGTACAGTTGCAAGGGAGAAAGCGTTCAACGTCTCTTGCCAAGGCATACGACAGCACTCTCAGGGTCACACCAGGCGGTGCACTCAAGCGCCCGATATCACCGGCATTCTTCGTGTAGATTCGAACCAGGCCGTCTCAACCAGGTCGATTTGGCCGATGATGGCCGTGTTTCAACTTCTGTAGACTACACGTTGAGTAGGAAGCACAAGTAGGACGTTGGCTTGTGGCAATCAAGTAACATCTGTGTGCTGTAGAGGTGGTCACTTCGAAAAAAATTTCAACCAAAGAGCTTAGAACATGATTCTTAGAGAAGGAATGCTGTACTGTCCACTGGGAACGCCCCTCTGCTAGTGGGAATGCTCCCCTCTCAACAACTCAAGGGCGACGTTCGCGGGGCTGGGTTTGTTGCTGTACTAGCGTGGATCGTGAATGACATGGACCAGCTTCGGCACACTTTCCAGCCAGTGGCTGCAGCCCTCCACAGCACGACCCCAGCAACACATCTGGGCGTGTCAACCGCGCATGTCGCCGCTCCATGGTGTCCTCCACTACGTGCCCACGTCGGGACTCCGCACACCAGAATGTCGTTTCCGATGCTTTGGTCTCCTATCCTATCCTAGACCAGAATTGGGCACCATACAGAAGAGTCAACATTCAATCGGCAAGAACCTCCAACATGCTGCATCTTTCTGCGGAGTGGTATTCGAGACCTTGCGTCAAGAAACTTGACTGCCCCAGCTTGACACTCGGAAAACGGCAGGGGTAGTTGCTAGACTGCTGTAGGTGTCTAACAACCCACAGTAGACACCTGTACCGTCCCCAGACCACTACTCCCGGTACTTCTTGCTGCCCTCCGTGACCTGCACTCTGATCTTCCCATTTGCCCAATCAGTCTCACCTTCAGTAGTAACCATCGGTCAGCCTTCACCAACAGGTTCGACACTCTCGCGTTCCCCCCTTGGTCCTCGTGCATGCCCTCGTCGGGAGGAGCGGTGTGGGAAGTAACCTGGTAAATCGCTTGGGTTGATGTACCGCTGGCGGCGGGGCGAGACTGTTGGAATCGTCCAATCAAACGAAGTGAGTGTTACGGTCTCGCGGTCCCGGCCTTCAGCGAGAGAACCCAACCAGTACTCTGTGCCTGCTGCTCTGTACTCTGTACCTGCTGCTACAAGACTTGCTGCTTGGTTCATCGCTTACGTCCGAGTGCTCGACGCCGAGGATTTCAATCTACAGGAGTACATCATTGTCACACGCAGGCCAGTTCTGTTCGGGAGAGAGATTTCCACCCGCCCGCAAGAAGGCACGATGATGACGTGTAGACTGCTGATGTTTACCGCACAGCCGTAATAAGGCACAGAACAGCAAGGTGCATGTATGGCTTTTTTTTGGTCTGCGTCTCCCTCGCAGGTGTCGTGTGTGGACTCTTCGGCGCAAAAACACCATACGCGGCAACATGGCAGTACACTCACGCTTGATGGCAGGCAGGAAATCACGCAGTGCTGTATGCAGCAGCAGTAGACCCATCCACGACGTTGGGATCTCGGCTTCAACTGGCCTACAGGCAAGGCAACCGGAAAAACACAAGAAAAACAATCGGAGTGAACCAAAAGACAATAACCAACGCCAGCGCTGGACACATCGCAATCTCCCTCCATCTGGTGGTCACGAAAGACATATGTACGTGCGACCAAGCTCAACAGATAAACGATCGCAAATGTCTGAGCTGGCGCATCTTGCTCGTGGCATCAGTCATGCACGTCCGACGGCACGGTGTTGCGACTAGCGCACCCAGTCAGAGATATACCTCACTAAAGGTGGGTGAGTTTCATAATCGTTTATGGAAAAATGTAAATGATCAGTTTTGGGGACGCCATAGCCAACTCGTTGTTCAATGAACACGATACACGATGTGCCACATACAAGGCGCGAGAACGGTGTAGAACATCATGTACCCCTGGTATGACACAAACCAAGCGCGCGGAGTGCCAAGGCAACAGCGTCCACCTTGGACGAGGGCCTACCCACCACTTTCGAAGAAAACAGTAAGTACGAAGCGACCATGAAAAACGGCACAAGATCAAACGAAACTAAAGAATAGCGCGAAGCAGAACGAACACTCTACGAGGTATGCTAGGCCTACCAACTGACGAGTAAGTTGACCACAGTCGGATGAACCACGATATGCATCTTTGTGATTTTCAGCCTACGCGCGAACTAGAGTAGAGGATAGGTAGCTCACCCTTCTGCTTGTGCTGAGCGCAGCTAATGCGCTTGCCTCCCTTAAACCCGAAGGAAGAGTTCCGGTTGCAGGCATTGAACCCTCCGGGCGCAACGCGGCAGCTCCGAGCCCCCTTGTGATAGTCCTCATACCCTGGGGGCTTGTGCGCCGCGCAAAACCTTTATCTTACTATTGCCCCCGGGCATCCTGAAGCGAAGGTACAAGTCGTACAAGCAAGGAACGCATGTCGACGCAAGCCGTGCATCAATCCGAGGACCAAGCGCGCATCGTACAACCAAACACGCGACGTCGCAACCGTCCATCGGTACAGGATACTGTGCCCTGAGTCACGGAAGGGCTGTTTCATGGCAGGATTTTTTCTCTATAGAGCATATGTAGAGCATTCGCACAAAGGGCACGTCATCCCGTTTCAAAAATCCCCACTTGCCTGAACGATGGTATCCTGGAGCAGCCCTCTCCATCACATCGACGAGACGTGATGTCCTCGTGCCCTTCCAGTTTGTGGGATGCGCATCGCGACGCTCTCTTGTCTCCTGGCAGGTTTAGCATGTGACAGTTCACAGTGAAGGGCGAGTTATACTGCACGTGTTGCTTTGACTCTGGGCATGAAACTAAAAACGATGAGGGAGAACACATCTTCATTACACCGTCTGCAACGAGGCCGCTCGTCACTAAGATTATTTCGTCACCTTTCCCGTTTTTGCTCTACACCCGATGGAAAGGCCTAGCCGTGGTCGGACGTGCCAGGGAACCCGAACGACGGTCGCCGCAGGCACTTGCTGCCGTCGTCCTCCACTTGGTCGCAAGTCTTTGTCCTGGAGCCGATGGCCCTTGCACTCCCTTTTTCCCGCTCAAGGTTGGGCACGGTGTTCGTTTGCTGCGGCACGTGCGCGGAAGGTGGTGCGGGGTTGTTGCACTTCCGGAGTCTGAGGCAGCTGCGACTCCCCACTTCCGTCGCAGGGGTGGGAGGATCCGTAATGTTGTCGTTGGCAGGATGTTTCCTTGGCCTGAGACTTCTCCTTCTTCCCTCTCCGTCGACATGGGCGGAGTCGACGGGGGGAGGCATCTGACGGTGGGGCACGTGCATGGCTGAAGCAGCCAGCCGCGGAAGCTCGGTCAACGGAGCAACATCCACCGATGGCCCTGGGTCGCCGACCCTGACCGCTGACGCACTGGAAAACCCAGCAGTTGTCGGCGCCTGATTCCAGACCGCTACTCGCGGCTGGATCCCGACCGCTGGTGTTGATACTGCTGGTACTGTTGCCGCTGGGGCAGGAGATTTATCAGCTGTTGCTGCCTTGTGTTCAATGCCCCCACAGCTGCCGGGTTGAACCCCCCCCGGCGGGGCGTGCTCGCCAAGTCCTACTGCTGCCGTTGCTGCTGCTGCATCTACTGCTGCTGCTGTTCCTTCTGACAAGGTGGATGCCCCGACCGCGACAGGAAGACGACCCGAACTGCTCTCCTGTGCCGGCAAGCCCGTGCTCAAGCCGGTTGCTGACGCAGTTGCTGCATGACCACCGCACCCCGCGTCCGAAAGCCCTAACCCGCCACCATCACCGGCGCCGCTCAGACAACGACCAAGAGCAGCACCAGCGGCGGGAAGCGTGGAAACGACGCTGGACGAGGCACCAGCGTGTGGTGGCTCTCCTGGTAATGGCCGCCGAACAAAACTCGCTTGGTTCCCCGCCCTGCTTCCCTTCTCCCTCTCCATTGGATATGCTTGTTGATGGCACCTCAGGGATCCCGTCTCCCAGCCTTCCGTCATTATCGCCACGGCAACCACCGCCAGCACCTCCCGCGCCTGCTGCCACGCCATCACCCCCGCCTTCCTGTTCTGGCGACTCCCCAACACAGCGTTTCTCGTTTGACCGGACCTGTCGACAGCGTGTCAGAGGTGTCCGCAGTGGCAGCGGGAATGCCGTCTTCAGTTGCGCGCATCGAGCCTACTGAACATATGCGTACGAGAAGAGCACCGCAGGGGGGCTTGGTTCGTCCTGATCACGTAACACGTTTCAAAGACGCCTACGTGCAACTCTTCAGGCACCTTTGACCTCAATGGATGCAAGGGGAACTGCGGGTTCGCTCGACAGTGTCGATCAACTTTGGTGCTGTTGTTATTATATTTTCATCCGCAATAGAAACCGTTCTTACCTCGATTCAGCACACCCCGGTGGTTTCCACTGGCAAGAGTAGTGTTCGGAGGCGAAGGAACCAAATGCACGAAATCACAACCGAACCCACAGCTAGGCGCAAATACAACAAACTGAGAGAACAAATAGAGCAAGTCCATTTGCTGGAGAGAGAGGAGGTTTGCTCGATTACATCGGCAACACATGATAGCAGAGCAAGGGCAGCCGCAAGCCCCACAACGCAAAGGAAGCGATGCCCATTGCTGTATTCCGATGCCTTCCACAATCCTGGTCGAAGCGCACCGCATATGAATGGAGGAAGCACGCGTTGTGATAGCCATAAGAAATGCCGCGCCTCGACCTGTGCCAGCTATTGCTTGGAGCCCCACTACCGCCGCATAGCCTGGAGAAGCGACAAGTCGGCATTGGCTCTGTCATTGACAAAACTCACCATCGGTTTCAATTCCCTTCTAGGGTAGTCGAAAAACATGGGCTTGTTCTCCCAAACACCATCCCCACAACTGCTACAATGGTAAAACAACTATTAATGTTCACGTATCTTGTCCCCGCTTCACCTCTTTTCCCTCCATCGCTTACCCCCTCTCCCTGCACAACCGGCGGGTGTAAAACCCAACAGCCCAGCTTGCGGCGGTAAAACCGGGTATGCATCAGGAGCGACAACAACGGGGTGCTGAATGTCGGTCTTGACTTCGACGGGTTTCGAAAACGATCGAATGACCACGGGTTTCGAAAACGGTTGAAAGACCACCCAGCGCGAGATGCATAAGAGCTGTTGCGCACGACAAAAATTCGCAAAAGGAATGCAGCGGTTGGGACTGTCTCCACCAGCTACCAGGTGTAGTCTACATCCTCTTCCCCTCACCAAGCAAAACACTTCCGAAACTCTAAGTTAAAGATATAACAGGCGACGCGGCGGGTGCTTCAATAGGTTTGTGTTTACAAGCTCCGACCTTGAACCCTATCGTAAATCGGTACAGGACATCATCGAGCGGCTTTGCGCAACCTGTTGTTGGAGCTGTGCTATCGAAGGCTACAGCAGCGGCCCCAACAGTTCCGAAATCCATACAGGTCAAAACCATCGATCCCTCCAATGCTGCACTCCCCATCAAAGACCCAATCTTGTGAACCGCGGGTGTACAGCAGTAGAACACACTACTAGCTGCCTAGGATGACCCACAGCTTGGGAAATTAGGGTTTGTAGGCGAGTCAGCAGTAGCGAACGTTGGGGTTGGATCCAAATGCCCAGCAGGTTTTGGACCCAGCGGCAGCCGTGGATGTCACCTCGAATTCATAAAAGCCCCGGCAGCGGATCATAGCGTATCATCGCGCATGTCGCTCGCCCATCATACCCTCTACCGTATACTGATACTGTATCTAAAGATGTGGAGTCTCCATGCCGGAGGGTCGTGGTCTTGTTTCTCTTAGATTTAGACTACTATAGACTAAGTTTGTTGTTCCATCTGGCACTCGTTACGCCGCACATTGTTTACCTTCCGCTACGTTTGCCGCCTTTGGCACCGCTGCAGCTCCCGCCGGACTCAGGCATTCACGTTCCCCCTTGCTGAAATAGTCTTCTGCTGCATGAGAGGCTATGAGTGTTGTGCGACCCTTCGTCTGCTCTGTCCTCCCAACTCTCCTTGTCCCCAGCAAGCCCTCGGTCTCTGACGGGACTGTTGGAAAAATAACACAAGATATCTGACAGCCGGCCCAGGAACGCCTGCAGGTTCGTGCACGAACGTCAAGTGTGTTGCAGTCCTCGGTGAAAAGTTGTGGTCGGAACGAGGACGGAACGAGGGCCGTGGAATGGTGAGCACGAGCAGTGTGGCGAACCCACCTGCCACCCAGAGGGTGATGGGTGGTGGGTGCTGTAAGGGGGCAACAACAACCGGAAAACCGGGAAAATGGCTGTACCTGCATGCAGACATCCCGTGCCCCCCCCAGCGCCAGGATCTACAGGATCCATGTGTAGGATCGCTTCGATCTACATGTACAGTCTATCCAGCAGGTCACCTTTTCTAACCCACAGGGAAATCTGTCCATGGAATCTCGAGAAACATCGAACGAAGAAAACCAACTTGCTTTTAGAGAAGAAACTGGATATCGCCAACTCTAAAACAAAAGTGAAAACAGAAGGGTAAGGACTTCTCCCTTCTTCCCCTCGCTCCTCGACAAGCTTTTGCTTAGACATGGGTTGTAGTGAAGGGGGGGGTCTTTCTGGCGAGCAGGGCTAGACTCACCCTCAAGGGATGACCGAAACCTTCTTGCTGCTGCGCATATCCGCCGCGAGGCATGCGCGTGGTGGTGTAGTTGGGTCGGC